GAGAAAAGCTGAACATTTTTTTATTAAAAACAGTGTACATGAACAGGATTGAAGCAACACGCAATAAATACATCTTGTATGCCTTAACGTTATGAAAGTATAAGGATGACAAAAGATCTGAGTAAGCACAAAACAATTTTGAGCGCTGATGATCTAGTGAATGAATGATCTCGTTTTAAAGCCATTATGGCATTGATTTTTAAAGTCAAATTAATTTAAAAGTAGTTACTAGCTATATATCATAGCGGCTGCGCTAGCTTCGTGTTACCTTCTATTTCTAGAGTGATTTTCTGAACCAGATGTTGCGTTTTCTTATTTCTTCTTTTTCTGTTTTTATAAATCATTTTAACAGTGAAAATTATTAGAACTATTATAAGAAAAACCTTTATGAATGAGGCTCATTGTCATTTCTGAGCTGAATGCTGCTCTCTGATTTGGGGTGTTTAGATTTACTGTAATATGATCCAACTCAATGTAGGATTATAAAAACAAATGGTTCACACAAACAAACAAGCAAAGAAAAATAAAATAAAATTATTATGGGCTGTGATGGATGTTTGTCTTTTCAGAATAGGTGTGGCACAAATCTGACATAGGCCTACCGGTTTTAATAATTTGGATGGTAACAGGATCAGTTAGATTACCAGAATTTGGCTGTACTTTAATCTACAGTGTAGATCCATACGCCCATAATAACTGAAATTGTAAGCTAAGCGAAAATGCATATGGGCATAAAACATGTAAATCATATGTTTTGCCCAATAATCATCTGACAGTTACAGATGAACCATGTATTCAAAAGTTGACTTTTTTCTTGTTCGGATTTTGAAAAAGACAGGATCCTAATGTCCGGACATGGATGTGTCCTGATGCAGCTTGCTAGTTAAAAAATGTTGGCAAGCTGCCAAAACAGTTGGAGATATTTAAGAGAGCACACTTGGAATCAAGTGCGAGAATTATCGGGATCACTCTCTGTGCACTCTCAAATGTTAACTTAGTTTTGCCTCCCTCAAATCTTTTGTCCTCAAGATATATCCATATAAAGTAAACTACTCTCAGCCTTGTTAGCTCAGGGGTCAAAATAGAAACGTTGGAATATAAAGAAGCATATTTGTGAATATTCTCAGTCATCCATTTATTACACTTAGCTGACAATTTTATCCAAAGCGGCTTACAATTGCTATATATACATATCAGACGTCGCACTCCTCTGGAGCAACAAGGGGTTAAGCGTCTTGCTTCACAGTGGGGAATTGAACCCGGGTCTCTCAGACTACAGGCATGTGTCTAATCCACTGCACAATCATCACCCCAAGGAAGGTTGAAATTGAAATCAAAGGGAACTGGACGTGGTTGAAGATGCTTTCTCCGCTTAAGAGCAGACCACCTTTGTGAAGCAGTCTAGGTGTGGGTGTTTGTCCAAACCAAACATGTTAGGCGGGATAGCACAATTTATAACACATTCTTCCTCTTACAAATGAAAAGTTAAACTTCTGAGTCTGTGAAATATAGAGGCAGTCCAACTAATCAACAATAAAACACACTGTTTCTTAGTTCAGTACACACAGAGGATTTGCTTCTACAGGCTTACTTGGTCTAGTATGATGAGTAGCTTATGGTGGCTAATATAAGCTGACTTTATTGCTGTTTGCTGTTTAACTGACAGTACTGAGTTAGTTTTCGGATTTTAAGTTTTAGCATTTACCTCTATCCCATAATTGTCACTTATGGCCACAGTATCTCTTTAAATGAAAATAAGGGATATCATGATCAGCACTAGCATAAAACTATTTCAAACAATAATGGGCCTTAGAAACCAGAAATCATAATACTAAATGTAGAAAACTTTTGTAAGTGGGCCAACATGCACATCTTTGATACTCTCTCTCTCGCACACAAACAGCACCTTCGTCCCCCAGACAGTGCTATTGAAGTCTTTAATCAAGACTAATGTGGAATGTCCCATAAGACCACCATTAATCATTTGAAGCTGGCCAACTGTGCCATTGATTAATGCTATACATCAAAGCAGCTGCTGCTGGCCCAAGTCCGCATGTCTGTCCAGCTCTGTTTGCACTGTGCAGCACGTCAAGCTTTAAATATTGTATATGACACAGCTATTCCCATTGCTCTTACGAAAAAAAGGAACATGGCAGAGTAATGGGAAAACAGTTTCTCTTTTTTAACCATGTTAAGCCTCTTATTTTGAATGAACTAGCTCATGGGACAAAGAAGTTTATGTGTAGCGGCATATAAGACTGTTACAACTGAAATCAAGCAGAGAGGCCGGTCTAAGTCACATCCCAGTGTGCTACTCTGGTATAAAGCTGACAGAAAACAAAACATTTACTGTGAAATTACTTTTCTGGCACAGAAATTGACAAACAGGAAGATTTTGAACTGTAGCTTGCAGGGCTCTTCTTTTGACAACTGTGATAGACTTTTGTATACCTTGTAAAAGTGACACAAACTTCTGAGTCTGTGAAATATAGAAGCAGTCCAATCATTGCCTACACTGTATTTTTTTATTCAGACAGTTTCATTCCAGTGGCCTTCAAAGGACACAAAAGAAGTGGCCCCTAACACCCAGGGAAATGAAATCCAGTCCAGGCTTGGGCATTTGTGTTTGCAATGAACAAAAAATTTACAAGGTGTACAAATACAAAGAAACTCTGCCTCTCTAACACACACACACACACACACACACACACACACACACAGTCTCGCTGTATGCCATCTATAAAAAACACTTCCCTCAAGCACACACAGTGGGCCCCCACTGGTTTCTCTCCTCAGTAGATTTGTTCTTGTCTTGTCGATGTTTCCAAGTTTAACCTGGGACAGAGCCAAGCGGCTAACAAACAGCGGTTTATTAATTGGATCTGGTAGCGTGTTTATATTGGTAAGGACTGAGATCATTTCACACTGGCCTTGGAACAGGTGTGCTATGCAGCGGTGCCAAATGAGCAAACTGCACAGGCTCAGCAGATTCAAGCAAAAAAGGATGAGCCTCCACAGAGATCCTGCCATAACTCAGCAAAAAGAGGCACTACTTATTAAGCTCTAGAGTTATCTGCATTGAGATCTATTCACGTCCACAGAACACTTAATGACTGTTCTTTTCCCCCTTAGTCCTACTTGTTTTTACCTCCAAACAGTCAACATTTTAACCAAATTTCTCCTTAAGTAGCATTAAAGTTAAACTTCGACACTGTATGTTCCTCACCTGTTTGTGTTTCAAAGAAATACAATGCTTACAGTGACTTAAATATTTAAACATTAGATGCTATTTTGGATCATTACATTAAATAGAAAATTGCAGATGTGTCGGACATAATTGGACTAGAATTAAAAATATTGTTTTGAGGGTCTGCTTGGCTGTTCAAAATGCATTTGTAAAAACATTTGCTGTTCAAGAGGTTTAAGGTTTAAAATATTCAACATATTTCTTCATATATGATGAGATTTTGTACATAAACTGTAAAGTGGAATGAAAGAAATAAAAACGCCGCAATGAGGAATATGAAGATATCCACATTGACAGCGTGCATAAGCGACAGAAGCTAAGAGAGCAGCTTTGGGGGAAAAAACACATCTTTTAAGTGCTGCAATTTGGTAAACTGCTTCCATACTTTGTTCCAGCAGAAGATGAGGAAACCCCCAAAAAAGGAACCATTTTTCTTAATGCTATGAGTTTTATGCTATGAGTATCAAGCAATTCTCAGTGACACTGAATTGGTTCAACTAATTTGAATGTACTTCAAGTTCACAATGAGCACATGTTTAATGTAGGAAAATATACACATAAGAGAGGGAGTTACGGTTACCAGATATAAAATATTAGTGTGAATCATTCAGAAAAACTACAAGTTATCTCTGCATCCTTGGCATTTTCTTTTCATGTGTCCTCATCTTTCCTTTTGACCCAGACTAAACAGTTACAGCCTCAACAACACAGACCCACGTAGAGGTCAGAGACCACCTGTTCTGAGTTGGCTGAACTGGTGAGGCGATATCAGAGGACACATCTGGCCTGACAGAGAACAGGCCGGATGGGAATGGCAGCATGCAGGCTGGTGACGGATGACTCACAGCTGATGCTGAGGTCAATAGAGGTCACATGGAGAACGGAGAATGGAAGGTCAGTCAGGACAGTGTTTTTCTATGGAGTATGTCATTTCTGGACAGGGACGTTATTATTTATAGGAAGTTTTTTTGTTTGTTTGGCAAGTAATTTGAAATCTGTTAGTGAGGGTTGCCAGGGCACCTTGAGATCTCACGGGTCCGATTTCTGTTTGTTTCTAGAGTTACCAGTGATGGAGGTCCGACCAGTTGTGGATCAAATCCATCATTCCAGTGTCAATATCTGTATCCCAAAGCAGCAGCGTAAAATATTATGTCTCGTCTCCCTCTGAATCAGAAACATTGGCAGAAACAAGACCTAAGACAGCAGTGCCATCATTCTTGTGAGATTACTAACATTTAACCCGGCCTTTTTTCTTCTGGCTTTACAGCAATCCTTCCTCTCTATATGAAACAGTTTGTGCGTGAGTATGTGTGTGCGTATCTACATATTTATGAACTCCAACTGATCCCCACCCCTCGCTTCACAGTTCACTGTGTTATTTTCCGCATTCTGGAAGGGAGTGGAGTGATGAGAGGGAATGCAAAGGAGGGGAGGACAAGCATGTCCTCAGAGCTCTCTTCTGCCTTATTCTTTATCAGCTTTCATCTCTCGGCCCTTCAGAAAGACTGAACTATAAAAGAGTCCAATCACTAGGCGACATATTATTTTTCCCTCCTTGAATACACTATATATAGCCCAGACACATACAACTTCTCCTCCTTTTGCATATATAACTTCAGCCAGCCATAGCTGGGAGCGTGGGTTTATCTATTGGCTCAGTGTGTGATTAACATAATAAATATGAAGTCTCCTCTGTCCCAGTGCTCACAGTGAGTATGGACAGAGAATTTAAATAAATCATAGGAAAACTCACTCATTTTTCTCCAGTAACAGGGTAAGCTGTTCACCTTCTGCACGTACCAGCAGCTGGAGTGACGCAGGATAACTCTGAAACACAAAAAGATGATGGAGTGTTGAGGTGGTGCACGGATCTCACCCATCCTGCCAGTGGATCAGCGTTTGTGTGAAGCTTCACCTTACTTTGACACACAGACTGTACACAAGGCAGGATGTGGCAAGGCACAATAGCGTTAGAGGAACAGGAAGAAAGCTTCCACATCCTACACTTCCCAAGTCTGTGCATGACACAAAAGTAGGTCCATAGGACTAGTTTCACAACTTAACCAAACAACCTAAGTTGTCTATCTGTATTGTCTCTTTAAAGTTATAATCCTTATAGGGCTGCAAAAAAAAATCCTATTGCACTAGTTTTGACAGATATAACGATTGCGATAATATTCATGATTAGTGGAAATTATTATTTTTGCATCACAATTTTTTTAATTTTACTGAAAAAACTATTAAAATAATGATGATTTGTTGGGGTCTGCAACAAACAAACATGTTTTCCCACATCTGAAGAACACGACTTGTAGGTCGGGGCATCTTTGCAGCACTACAGTACTTCATTACAATGCTGCTTTGTCAAAATATTACGATTTTGATAGTACTTTGATTAATTGTGCAGCCCTAAATCCTTATGATTTTCATGAAATCAAATCCCATTTTTAATACAATATATGATTGGCATTTTATATTCAATAGCCATTTAATATATTCACATTCAATAATTATAATAACCTTTTTTTTTTTTTATACATTAGTTTAAATTGTTAGTGGTGGAGCCATTCAAGCACTAGGGATAAACTGCCTACCTGTGCACAAGGGATTCACAGGAAACAGGAAACAATGTATGTATGTCCAGCATACTTTGATCTCATTGATAACAGCCTCACTGTTTTTTGTTCACTCTCTTCATACCACATCAGAGCTCTACAAACAGAACATCTTTCTTTAACAGAAAACTATATTTCAGTGCAACAACAGTGATGACTACGCGATGTGAGTATTTCAGTGCCACTGATTTATGACCTGGGAAATGAAGGGGATGCAGGAGATTTCGCTCACAATGTCAAATGTCATTTTGACATTTAATCCTAAATCAAATCTCAAAACGGCAATTTCCCACCAAACAGCTCTAAGATGACGCTTTTCAGAAAATAGTACAAATCGCTTGCAGCAGGACAGAAGCAAATTGTGTTCACGCCTGAGGCATAATGATGGTGTCAGATCATTCTTACCACATGAACATTAAAAATACGAGAAAAAGATAAGACATGGTCAAATAAAAAAATTATTAATGTATCCTAACTAGTAGACAGACAGAAATAGTCAGACGTGCACAGTGAGGAATGAACATGGATTAATGTAAAATCAGTTGATATTTTTGACTTCCTGTGTCCTCTTTCACAGTGATATTTCTTAGGTCTGCTGACCGGTGCTTTCAGGCCACTACATTGCCAGTCGGTCTGCAGCTCTGTCTGAGAGTGTCTATGTTTGTGTGTATGTGTGGCTGCAAGTGTGCCTGTGTGGAGAGTGGATATCACTGTAAGTAATGACTCTGCAATACTTTACGACTGCTTGATAACTTCTATTGGCACAAGGAGCAGCAATATAAATCTGTTATCCGTGGAGGTTTAAGTCTTAGTGCAGCAAGACTGCCCTAGTGGTCAGTTTAATTTGAGGAAGGGTCAGTTTGTAGATACCCTACAGTAAAACCACTGTATCTCCTAAAAACAAAAAACAAAAACAAAAATGTCAGCAATAGCTGGGGGGTTATAAAATATCTGATGTAGTTGAAAAAGGTGTGCTTAATTAACTCCAGAAAGCTAAAAGTTGCATTTTTCCTCATGCCTACAGTGTGTGACACGTTGGTGATAAACAAGTCATGTAATTAACATCACTGCCCCTCTTCTACTGACTGACTTTGAAAGAGCAGCATAAGGCTGGAAAAAACAACTCGTCAGATGGTGACTTCCCTGCACCAGGAAAAATGTTTGATTGCTCTGGGAGCTCTCAACCTACGCATTTCCCTCCTCTGGAAAAGTTTTCTTAAGTTGTGGTGGGGGGATGCCGAATTTCAAACATTTTCTTTTCCAGCTGTAGTAAGTAGGACAGACTGGTTTTGAGAGAACTAAGGAAACATATGTATGGATGTGTCTTTAAATCTAGCATACACTGTATCTTATGATGCAGGAAAGGAATTACGTGTTACGAGGCTTCTTCATGCTCTCAAATATCCCTCACAGCATCGGGTTGTGCACTGCTGACTTGTAAAACTGTTGAAAGGCTGACGAGTTTCACGAATAATTTCACAGTGTGCATCGCCTATGGGGCAAACTCCTATTCAACAAACAAAAGAGGATACTTAAAACAAAGGAGAGGGAGTTGGCGAAGAGAGAAACCGCAACAGGGAACCAACAGAGAATAAACAGAGCTGAGGAAGGGACTTTCTACTGAAGAAAATCAAGCAAGCGGGGAAAGAGGCAGCAGGGGAGGGAATCATATACAGTACTGCGGTTATGTCATACAAAAAGCCAGACATCTACACTTGGCTGAGCTCTTGGAAGCCATCTTATTAGCATTAAACTAGTGTTGCTAAGTGGCCGTTTGACTATTTACCTCGGCTGTGAGCTGGCAGAGAGGTCTGCGCTCATTGCCCTTCAGCAGCAGAGGTACGGTGGTCTTGATGCGTTGTGGTTTGAACGCTTCCCCTTGCCGTTTAGACTTGTCTGGACTACTTCCTGTCAAAAAAAAGAAGAAGTTCTTCAGAACAGATTAAATACATCACATCACACTACAAACATCACAGGGGCTTACACAGTAGATTTTGTTAAACTGTTCTGTAAAATCCTCAATAATTCAAGCACACCAATAATGTTTCAGACAGAACGAAGACTGCAACAAAGACAGGCACGCCCAGCACACAGACACAGCACTACGAAAGATTGTGGACTGTGTTGCTGAGAAAGCGTAAAAGCTCACTCTTGTTCCTTTGAGGCGATGCGCTGTCCCCCTCCCTGCAATAGGACCACAGACAAGGCATCAATATAGATGCTCTCACACAGTTTATGAGGAACTCAGCCTTTAAGAAATCTCCAGACAGGGGTGGAGTTAAAAAAACAAACAAAAAAACAACAACTGGTAGGATGAAACTGTGCTTTCCACTTCTTATTTTTATTTCTGTCTTTTCCTCTTTCCCTT